AGTAAAATACTAAACCACAACGTGAGCCGGAGGAGCCGTCGCACTGGAGAGCCCCATCGCCGGTGAGTTTTAGTTTTTTACATTTTTTTTGTCCACCGAGGACCCTAAGTGTGTTTTCTCACAGGAACCGATGCAAGTTTGGCTAAATTCAATCGAAAACAACTGAAAATAGCCAACCTGAGGCGGATCGTCGTCGCAGGCGGCGGCGCCGTCGCCGGAGCATGGCTGAGCGCCGTGCTGGAATTCCGAAATTGGTCAAGTAGGCCCTGGGTCTGATTTTTTTGGTTATTTGGGACATGTGTAGGTACCGTAAGTGCGTTTCAGTTCCCGAGAAAAAATTCAGGGAACCCAAGGATTGCTCGTAGGCGCAGTAACAATCTAGTTTTCGGCGTCGAATCAAGTAAAAACCCCTCACCCTATTTCTTATTATGAAATTAAAGTTTTAATAAATGATAATATTATATTTTGTACAAATTAAATAGAGACGCATAATTAATTACGATTGCTAATGGAGCCCAAACCATACATTATTCTCTGTCGATTCCTGTTTGATTTATTTTATAGTTTAAAAGTATTATAGTATATGGTTTATCTATTTCATGATTTTAAATGCATGTATTACTACTTACTTCACTACTGTTTGATTTTGGGAATCTAAGATATAATTGCATTGTTTGATACACGTTACTTGTTTATGTATTTATGTTTGATTTGGTGACGGAGACTAATGACAAATAGGAATGAGATATGATCTGATAAATGGATAAGATAACAGCCTCACTAGATATCCTGAGAGATGGTGGACGGATCGGGTTCATAGGGGACTCTACCGTGAACGTTGTCTCATACCGAACGTGGTATGGAGACTTAGTCATTTGGCGCTCATACCGGACGGGGTATGGGAACGACCCGCTTCACCCTCATACCGGACGGGGTATTGAGGTTTAATGTCTTGACGCTCATATCGGACGGGGTATAAGGACGACCCTGGAATTAAGACAGTAAGGGAGAATGGCTTACGTGTAGCGTGGACACCCCTTATAGATCCCAATGGATATTAACAGGTTAGTGAAAACGAGAAACGGTGATAATCAATGATTGTTAATGAATACGGATTTATGATATGTTTTATGTTACTGATTATGCATGAAATTGTGATCAGTATGATGTTATTGTCTTTATAGGTTGTTTTAACAGGTTCTCTAAGGGTAAGAAAAAGGGTAAGTGGTTTTATTTTAAATAAATGTTTTGTTTTAAAAATTGTGCCCAATTGGTTGTTTTTAGTTTTTTACCAACCTTTACTTCCGTGACGGTGATATAGTGTGATGTACTTGCTGGGTTAGTGTAGTTCATTCTTTATTTAATCATTTTATATTAGGAGGACCTGGTTCCCGAGCCCGATTCATAGGAAGACGACGAGTAAATGATAGATGCTTTATAGTTTCCTTTATTTTTTCTCACTTTCTCGTATTTCTTTTAGAGAACTTATTGCGTGATATTATTCAGTACTTTTAAGTTATTGTGTAAGAGATGTTAACTTTAATCTTTTATTTGCTTCCGCACTCAGATTATTATATGTATTTTTTATTGAATTTCTAGGGTCGTTACACTATTATTCGCTTTTGTATTTAAATTATAATTTTATTTCTTTTAAGGTTCCGGATCTCTATATATTATATATGAAATAATGTTATTTTAATAATGATAATAATATTTTGATTATTACGTGGAAATCATACCACTTTTTTGGCAAAACAAAAAAGGAATCATGAGGTATCTGATTATTTGTTTCAACGATTTAAATAATTTGAAGGTAATATTTGAAATACATTAAAATTTCTTATAAAATTTATTTTGTAAATATATTTATATTAAGTAATCATGATGGAATTTTTTAGAATGAAACAGAAAATAACTTTAATACAATTATATTAGATATAAAATTAAAATAATGGGTTATAATTAAAATAATTTTTTGAAAAAAGTGTGCAAGAATTATAGAAAGAATGGAATTAAGTTTGGAAGTAATATTAAAAAAGAAGTACATATGATAAGAAAATATAAAATAAAAATAAAATTAATATTATAAGAATTTTAAATTATTAAATAATCTCAAATAAAATTATCTTTATATTAAAATAATTATTGTGTATTTCTGTATGTGTATACATTAATTGTTTAGACAACAACATCTAACTCATATAAGCAAACATAATATTCACCTGTCTAATATTAAATTATCAACTACCATTTTTTTTCCTAAAAAACAAGACTACTTTTTACAATAATTTTGTAATAATGGATCAACAGAATAATTTTAAAAATAAACAAAAAGGAAAAAGAATACATAGTAATTCTTTTTATTTGGGTTTAAGACAGTTTTTGTTTAAAATTTAGTTTATTTT